AAACTCTATACAATCATAAGATATAAAAGTAAGCTCAAATCGCGGAAGCAATTAGTAGAAAGTCTTTTCAATTCACTGCACATACGTAAAAAAAAGAAATATAAGATATATATATGCATGGCCAGCGACGTTCTCTGTTGCCATTGATCATCCTTGTGACATAGGAACAACGAAAAGAAATTTCTGCAGCAAGTAGCATTTCCGTGCGCATTCTGACGGAAGCCTACCTTTAGTCGACGCATGTTCGTTTCATAACGATCCAAAATAAACGAGTATGCGTCTACAGCTGTTATTTCTCTTTCAAACATTTCGAACAATAGAAAATCATTAATCGTCGTTCACGTATGGAAACTCTACGTACAAAAGTCTTTCCCTATCGTAAGAGAAGTACGCTTTTACATTACGACAGATAATCAATTAATAGAGAAAGATTATTATTGTTTTGCCACTATCGGTATCCAGTTATCAAAATGTTTAAATAAATCGAACATACCGCGCACACACACACACACACACACACACACACACACACACACACACACACACACACACACACACACACACACACACACATACACACACTTAATACACATAAACAAATCAGCACCCGCCGCGCGCGCGCGCGCGCTCCTTCACTCGAAATCCGCGCTCGCGATGATTGTTATTCCACGTCGGGTGCGCTCCCTTTTCCACGCCACCATATATGGGAGTCGCGACGAACTACGAGGGCGAGAGCATCTGATCCCGATGATAGGGGCGATGACAGCGACGTGTGTGCTCCGATATCCTATCGTCGATCAGACGATCGTAACGCGTCGTGCGTTAACCGGAGTGTGCTCTTTCGCTGTCGTCGTCAACGGCAGCGACGGCAGCGGCGGCAGCGACGGCGGCGACGGCGGCGGCGGTGGCGGTGGCGGTGGTGGTGGCGACGGAAGAGGAATTGGAGTGGGGGATGGGGCCCTCCTTCGTACACCTGCGCGCGACCTATCAACAGGTCCCCGTGCGCGCACGTACGTACGTACGTACGTACGCGCGCGCGCATGCACGCACGTACGTTACGCAGGGCCACGCGGAATCCGGCCCCGCCAAGTTCCACGCCGATGCGCACATACACGCTGCTGCGGATCCTCTCCTCCCTTGCTCCCGCCGGCGCCTGCTCACTTCCTCCTGTTTCTACCTGCTGCTCCGATACGTATCTCCCCGGGAGTAAGTGCTCTCGCGGTTTCTTTAAGGTTCTTCTTTTCCTCTTCCCTTTCCCTACTGTTTCCCTGACGACAACGGGAGCGAGATGACGTCGCCGCGATACGTCGCGGGAACGCGGCGAGCTCTGTTCGAGATTCAGGATGTCCACGCAGCCGCGAGCGAGCGAGCGAGCGAGCGAACTATCGCGTGATTTAGGCAAGGCCGCGTTCGAACGTGCGCTTCGGGGACCCCGTTCCAGCGCGCTCCATTCTACTGGGGCCCAACCTTTTCTACGACGGGGCCTTCCCCTTCCCTTTGGCGGTCGACTCCAGGACCGCTGCGTCGACTGCAGGCCTGGTGCATTCCACACGCATTTCATCCATCGTGTTTCGCTTCTCTTTTGTCCCTCTCCGTGTTGATAGAACGACAGACATATACCGCGTGATTTCGATGTACGGTTTGGGTCGATCTCGGTATCGTTACGATCGTTAAAAAAATTACAGTGGCACGTCTATTCCGTGCCCCGATTTAATACCGCAGGCGACAGAAAATGTCTTGATATAAGCGAGTTCGACATTTATTTACCGTCACTTTTTCGACTGTTACGCTGAGATATCTGTCATAAAATTCAGATTGACAAGTATAATTTTCAGCGTATTAACACGCTAATTTTCATATATATTTTCAATTTTTTATTACTTTCCAACAAATGTCTCCGTGCGACGGATTATCATTAAGCATAAAAGTCATTTCCTCTTGAGTTTATATACGAAGATAAAAAGACAAGAATCCGTACTCTCTTAGAAACATCACGCAACGTTCGTCGCGACGACGACGTTCCTGCGCGAACTTTCCCGTCCTTGTTCCTCTCATTAAACACGTCATTATTCCTCGCTCGCACTACCACGCTTTCGGACTCGCTTCACCAGCCAGTCTGCCGCTGCTGCGTCCTTCCTCCTTCCTTCTCTCCTCATCATTCCGCTTTTCACTCGCTTGCCTGCGGGTCCTCAACCCTACTGTCTCATTCATTTCCGAGATGTCTTTACCTTTTCGAAGGACTATACCCTGCGTAATCTTGATCTTCCGCAGAGAATTTCTGGGCGGTTGGTTTTACCGGTTAGTCGGCGCGAAAGTCACGTGATTACGACCTCTACGGTCGCAGTAGATTTTTTTACGATTAAAAATCGGACATTGTAAAGTCATATTTTTAATGTCATTTATGTGTAATTATTTGATTGTTATCAACTTCAAGGATAACGTAGAAATTAAAAAAGGGGACAATGCAAGTACAAATCTCTTACGAGTAAAAATTTTGCGATAGAATACATTAATCTTCGATAAATTTTCTCTGATTAGTGATTATAATATTTTATTTTATTTTATCTATTATTTAGCTGTTCGCTAAATAGAATTCCCTAATGTTGAGTCTCCCACATAAAAATGTTTTTTGTTCGTGATCTCAATACAGTATGAATTAACTTCAGGAAAATTTCTAAAAATTTCTCGTTCACGTCGAACATTTGAATTCTATATTTTGGGATTAATATCAATTACTGTTTAACTTTTAGCAAATTATTGACAAAAGAAAGTTGTTAAAAAAAAAATTCAAAATTATATCTGTTGTAAAACAAGCGAATGTACAGAGAATGATTTTATCATCTATCAATGTATCAGAATACATTATAGTTTTATACCGATGAAGCGGTATAGAGATAACCGGTCTATTCGAACTATTTATTGCAATAAATCAATTTTTATTTATCTATTATGTTTATTGCTATTTCTCCTTATAGTATAAAAATGCTTGCTTATCGTTTTTATATCCGTAGTATATTTTTCAATAAATCTCAATAAGAATTTTTATTTACAAAACTGCTATATACATGTACAAGAAGATATATTTAAATATGTATAAGTAGCTTTATAGAATTACGATATATACAATTGTTTGTTTTTACAATCTTAAAAAAAAACCGTAACATTATGTAGTCACTTCTGGAAAAAGATTTATTAGGACATGATCTAGCAAAAAGTATGCTAGATGCTTATTGAATGGCGCATTTTGTAAAGGATCTAAAAGAGAATCCATTAAATTGTTCCAAGGTTTGGAGAATCCTATTAATCGCCACAAGGAATGCAATCCTTCTCTTGCCGTTTCGTAATAATCTCGACATTTTCCTTGCGAGGGAAAGTCCTTCATGTAATTTTTGCCTACTATTTTTGCATGTAATAATTTGACGACGATGGAGGCGCGACCACCACTTAGAAGCTTGACTAGGATATTATAGAACATTGTGTTCACAATAAGGTCTACTCTTTTACGTGATAAGAAGGCAAATATCCAAAAGAGTCGTGAAATAATCGAAGGTATGCTCAGTAGACCATCAACTGTAACATAACATCATTTCAACAATTGTCATTAAAAATCATGCACATATGAAAGATATTTTTTATACTTACGAGCTTCTACGATGCATAAGCTTGCACCTTTCACGTGATTGCGCTGCGATAGGCTGCACGGCAAATCTTGAAAAGCAACTGATAGGTTCAAATTATTGCCGAACACATCCTCTATCAGTTTTCTGCCTTTACTTTCTGTCTCGCCGAGATGCTCGCTTGATGGTTCGACACCCATATCCATGTGCTCGTACTTTGTATTTGTAGATGCTAAAAAGATATTCATGAACTTATCGAGATGCTGTCCTTTCTCCTTCCGCAATTTATAAGCCATGTTCTGGTAAAGGATGCCAATGTCAGGCGTGCTGTAGTTCGCGAAATACGGTTTTAAATTCGGAGTCGTGAGGAAAGTATAAAGGAGCTCGCTGCTTCTCAGCATCGGTTTAGACAGTAATTTCTGTAGAAATTCTTCGTAACGCTGACGATTAGCTGCGAGGGATAAGTGCGGGTTCTTGCGCGATGGTAATGGCGAGTCATTTAACTCCTTATCGCCATGGAACTCGGCAAGACGTGTCCGTAGCGTATAAAAATCTTGATCTTGTCGCAAGACCGTCCATGATTTAGCCTCTGCCACACTATGAATAGCAATCATATACACCGGTTGTGTACCACCACCGTCCACGTGTGGAACAGCAACTCGCCACGTTGTTAAATCACGATGACTCTTATCACCGAAACCTTTCATCTCATTATATGCTCGAGCCGTGCAATCTACTTCTTCGACTGGGTAGGCATCTTGGAGTTGAAATGGGGTACCGTCAATCGTAGATGTCCGTAAAACACCATCGATCTTGCTCGGTTGATTATTGAATCGCATGGGAGTAGATGTACTTCCACTCGTACTACTGTAAATGAATATGTATGTATTTATATAATCATGCATGTTTTATTTAGAATTAACATGTAAATTATGTCTAAATATATTTGTATTTATATTATTTGTTTTTATTCATCCAAGAGAGAAATCGCTATTTCGATTTTTTCTATTACATTTGTACGTGTTACATTTGTGTATTATAATTAGTTATAAAAAAAAATAAACGAACGAAAAATAAAATAGAAAGTATTGAAAGATAATATTTCTGAAGAGTTAAAAATGTACATAAAAATATATACATTTTAGGAGCTTACTTACTTAGCTATTGCAGCTTTTACTTGTTCGGACACTAAATGGCCGCACAAGCGTTTATATAACTAGAATATACAGAATAAAATATTATTAAAATATGAATAGAATAAAATTATTATTAAAATATGAATTCCATTATTCAAAAATTTAATATATTCAAGATTAAATGAAATTTTTAAGAAATATGTATATTAAATATTATAATATAAAAAAAAATAAAGAGAAATTATGAAATGGTCTTTTACTTGATAGCTATGATGGAATGATGGTAGACAAGTACTTTCCAGAAGTGCATGTGCTTCTTGATGAGCTTGATAGAAAGGTCGTGACGTCCGTAGTTCTTGAATTTTTTCTGATCCACCTTCCAATACTATAAAATAAAAATGTATACATACAATTGCAGCTATAATCCATCTAAAAAAATTATTTACAAATTACTTACTTTGTTGTATGCCTTTCGATATATGTAAAGGTAGATATAAATATTCTGGACCATCAGGATCAAGATACATCATATACATGTTTCGAACATCTATGTACAAGCTTTTTTCAGCGCTAGTTGACATTTCCGGATTTAACATACGTTTACTAAGATCATCTAAAAGTAAATAATGTAAATTATCCAGAAAATTTAAATAATATTTAAAATGTTATATGTACCAATATCTAAGCAAAATTGGAGAAGATTCATAGGTCCTGTCTCTTTAATATGTTGCATAAACATATATAACAGTTCGGGATCATTTAATACTTCATTCAGAGATGGTTTGAAGCAATTGTATGTGATGTGCGAGTGCATTGCTGGAATTGTCACCCAGGATTGTAGCATTGGTACCGTAACAGTCTCTGCAGCATTGGATAGAGAAGTGTCACGGTGAGTAGATAATGTCACTAGCATATTTATGTTTTCTGGATCCGCAAGTGCATCAATTGCTGGCAATAGCACCCAATTTGCCAAAATTTCCCGTAATATTACCTAGAAGTATATATAAACTGAAAGAAATGCATGAAAAGTGTTATGCAATAGTTTCTCTGTATAATAAATCTATTATCTATAATAATCCATATGTAAACTGAGGAGGATTTTGAAGAAACACATTTAGAAACATACTTTATTATTTGTTGACACATGTATAGCAGGTAATAAATGTGGCAACAACGCAGTTACTAGTCCCCGCAAATAATTCAACTCAGCTTCTCTTGAATAAGCAGCTGGATGAATCTTAGAGCTCAAGTAACTGCCGATATAATCCTGGGGTGTTTTAATGTCAGATTTGGACATTTTGAGCAATACATTCCAATCTCGAGCATGCTGTATGGCTAAGGGAATCAAACCGTCAAAAGCAATGGCTGCTGTATCTGCACGTAATAATCGAATGGCAATATTCTTTGCTACTGTTGTTATGGCTAAACGTAATTGCTGTATGAAAGCCTCATTTGCTGAAAAATCTGAATACCATGTGCAGACATAAATTTGCAGTACCTCCTCTAAAAGCTATAAAATAATACATTCATATTATTTGTTGACTGATAATAATCGATAAACAAAGAATAAAATTTATAAAATATATAATAATTACTTGTTCTAATGCTTGATCAAAGTCTTTTGGCACTTTGACCTTGGTTGAATGTGGCAGCAATTTATGCCTTTTGCAGGTGTTGTTGCTGCACACGCTGCATGAATCCTTAATCTCATGTCTCGTGATAAACTTGTCATTTGTAATATTGAACTTGATTAGTAAAACATCAATAAAGTGTGCTATCTGTACCGCGTAAAAACTAGCAATCACATAAATGCCAGCCACAATAAACACCCATACAATACTGCGAAAAAATTATAAAAACAGAATATAATTTCATATATACGATTTATGCACGTGCTAACCGTTTTATTTACCTCTGAAACACGACCACGATAAATGCGATAAATAAAATAATAATCGCCGACACCGCGGCGCTAAAAAAATACAGATCCGGCATTTCCTCGGTGTTAAACGCAATATATATGATACTATATGATACTATATGATAATATATGATAATATATGATACTACGAAATAGTTTTGGCTAATAAAGCATTCTCACAGTTGACACGAAGCCACTTTCAAACACAATCAGAGAAAATATTTATACAATGCGTCAAGAGAAAAAAGAATGCTACGCATAGTTGTCTCTTTTATCAGACAGATTTGAGTTTCAAGTGGCGACTCTACAGTGCTTAACAAGTACTATGAGGTTTCAATTACGACAAATAATCCAGAATAATCTGTAGCGAGTTGCAGAGGAAAAGTAGACCTGCGGAAAAAAGAATCGATATTGTTTCAAATTTCAGTGCGACGACTCAAGAAAATGAATTGAAAAATTTTTTCATATGGTTAAGAGAGAGATAATGATTTAAGATAACCTTATTATAACAAAAGCATTGGATAATATCGAGTAATGTATAGCCTATAATCGGCTAATAAAAACATTAGCTAATGATTTTAAAATCTCTCGGCTTTTATTCGATAATGGAAATGTCGCAATATTTGACTTATCAAGCCATCCTCAAACAAGGTTGAGATAAACCTTTGATTTAAACCTAATGATGGTAAATTGAAAAATGAAAATGCATTGTTTGATGTTATAATAATCGCTTATGGATTTTGTATTCGAAGTGATATTTAAAAAGAAAAAAACGAAACTGCGACGAAATGTCGAAACCTCCGGATCCGAAATTTTTGTTGCGTGGTGACATGAATGAAAATATCCACAGTTTGTTATTCTCAATTAATTCTAATGTGGAGCATCTCTATGCTGGTGATGGAAAAGGCACAGTACACATTTGGGACTTAGAAGTAAACGGCTATTTTAGTAGATTATTGTAGATTAATGATTAGATTATTCAATTAATAAAATTCACATAAAAGATTAATATTGTGCTGGTAACATAAGTTTATATAAAAAGGAAAGATTTGTTAAAGGAATTATCTTTAATTTTTATAATTTTCCAGACAAACAGAATAAAAAGTCAATTATCAGATGGATGTAGTCCATGTTTTAATTTACATACAACCAATGAGTTTGACTTAATAGTACAACGAAGACACGGAGTGATTGATATTTATAAAATGAATGAATCAAACTGGATACTAGATAAAAGTAGCAATTATGGATATTGTAGTTTTTGCAGGTATATTATAACAGATAAATCTGTTATAAATAGATAAATGAATATTGAAGTTAATATTTTATATTACAGATCTCAATTGTTACCTAAAAAGGATGCAGTATTGATTCCACTTGACAATTCTGCAGTAGGGATATTATCATTGAAGACATTCAAGGTGGAATCAACATTAGATCCATCCAAATTGCCCTATAGTAGTAAATTAGGTACAGTAATGGCGATAAAATCGCTAGAAGATATGATTGATTTGGTTCTAGTTGTTTATGAAGGTGGCCAATTATTATTATGGGACACGAGAGAGAATCAAGTTCTCAGTTCTCTTACTGTAGAGCAATATCCAATGACTCTTGATTTTGACGCTTCCTTGATGCAAGGTATTCTTGGTAGTGCGTCAGAGAAATTAGAGGTATAAAAAGATTGATTTTTGTATTTTTCTATGAAATTATTTGGAGGATTATTAAATTATGTTGATAAATTTTTAGATTTTCCAAATGTCATCAAATCACACGTTATTGCACAAATCTACAAAAGACTTGGCACATGTTTCCGGCATATCCGTTCTTTCTATACGACCAGATAAGAAGATTGTTGCAGCCGGCTGCTGGGATGGGCGTATTATGCTATTCTCGTGGAAGAAATTGCGGCCACTTGCAATATTAAAAGAACATAGAGCAAATGTATACGATATCGTTTATTCGCAATGTAAAGTCGAGGCTTATGATACCAAATGTTTAATGGCAGCAACTGGCAAAGATGGCTATATTTCTATGTGGGATATATATAATTAGAAACCGGAAATGTACATACATTTTTATAAGATAGAGAATATAAAAATATTAATATTAACATATAGTTAATAAATAAATATTTTATATCTATACAATTTTTTTTATTAATAATCTCATTGCCATCGGACTATATGATACGACTTTTTTACCTACTCTAAGCAATGATAAATTATTACTTAGTATATGGATGCCAGGTACAATTACTTCATTTAAATTAGTAATTCTTTGATAATTTACATAAAATCCACCTGCTGTTATGATTCGTTCAGCATCATGATCGGTTTTAAAGCATTTTACTTTTTTTGCTAGTTCATATATAGTGAGCCCTGGTTCTGCTATGATGTCTACTATGGTTGCGCCTTCAAATACATGCGTTAATTCCGATGCGTTCAGTCTTATAAACGATTCAATTGACTTATCATATAATGCTGCAGATGCCCGTTTTGCCGCCAACAATCCATCTTCTGTAAAAGAATTATAGTAAATTATAATAAGCAAATAAAAATAATATAAAAAATATTAAGGAATTTAGGAGCTAAGTTAAATTTCATTGCCTGATATGACATAATGCACAGTAATAAACTGTGTTCTAATCTGTGATTAGGTTGAAACATCGTTATTGTACATGTTGTCATATTGATTTAACAATAAAATTTGACTTAATTTTTAAGCCTAATATTTTCTATTAATTTCCAATGTATTGAAATATGTTTAAAAATGTTTTATCTTTTAAATGTTTTTGCTTTAAAAATGTTTTATCTTTTAAAGATAATATAATTTAAAAGTTACCTCCATGTACTAAAAGTGTAACTTGCTGTGCCAACAATTTTTGCGCTTGTCTCTGTTCTGGATCCTTCATATGAGCATCGACAATTTCAGTAATGTTATTTAGCGGTATAAATGTGAACAATTTTAAGAATTTTTCAACATCAGAATCTTTAGTTCTAATGAAATATTGATATAGTTGAAAACTTGACGATTTCGTCGGGGATAGCCACACTGCATTCAAAAGAGATTTTCCAAATTTCTTTCCACCTTCGGCTGTTATGAGCGGCAATGTTATGCCATAAACCTCTTTTTTTGTGCTCTTTGTAATCAAATCATATCCAGACATAATATTACCCATCTGGTCACTGCCACCAATCTGAAAGCGGCATTTATAATTTTTCATCAGCTGTAGCCAGTCATATGCTTGGAATACTTGATACGTGAATTCAGTAAAGCTCATTCCCGTGTCAGAGTTTAATCGCGACTGTACAGAGGATCTGCCCAGCATCGTGCCCATTCGAAAGTACTTTCCAATACTCCTAACAAATTCTATAACATTTACATCTGTATACCATTTCAAATTATTCACTATAATCAGAGGTTTCAGTGCTTCTTTCTTCTTTTTCCAAAGATAATTTTCATGATTATTAAATATAGTCTCTATATTCTTTGTAATAGATTTAACATTTTCTTCAATCAAATATTTTTCCATTTCGATGCGTTCAGATTTTCTATGACTAGGATCACCTATCAAACCTGTAGCCCCTCCTACTAAAGCTATAACTTGATGTCCCGCTCTTTGCCAATGCAAGAGATTCATTAAGATAAGTAGATTGCCGATGTGTAAACTATCTGCTGTTGGATCAAAGCCAGCATAGACACATTGGGGTGATTTGTTCAGTAAATCTGTTATTTCATTTCTGAAAAATAAAGATGTATTAAGATATTTGTAAATATCAATACAACGCAATATAATTTTTCTTTATAACATTATGATATAAAATAATTTCGTGTACTTACGTACTGGTATCAGGAAATAAATCCTCGTACATGCCTCTTTCATGAAGTTTCAATATATTTCTGCTGCAGTAAAATCTGTGTTTGTCAAAATTGTTTCTGGTGAAACATAACCTTAATAAAGAACGAGCGTTCATCTTGTAATACATTTGTTATCCTAGAGACAATATTGACAATTATCTTCAATTTTTTGGAAAATTATATTTTGTTCTGAATTTTCTACATCAAAAGATGTATATGTAAATTCGTACAATCACTAATATTTATAATTCAAACTTAACGATTATTAGACCGACAGCCTAACCTCAAATAATATAGCATGCGACATGCTTATGGCCACACACACACACACACACACACACACACACACACACACACACACACATATATATATAGGTCCGTTTTCTGCAATTGCATCAAACTTTCTATCTTGTCCTCACTAATCTTCAAATATATATCTATTTCATTTTAATGTATTATACATACATACATTACTTGTATATTAACTCAATATGAAGTACATGTTCTGTTAATATATATTAAATAAATATTAATATACATTAAATATGATTTTCTTACAATTTTTCCGATTCCTTTAATAAATTAGATATACATTGATTATTGATGTTTTATTTATTATATCAATACAAAAAAATATTTACAAAAGAATACACACAAGTATGTTAAATATTAGACCAAAAATTTTTGTACGCGATTATAAATTGTTACAACAAATTACAAATTATCATAATAAGTTTAAACTTATGCTTATGCTTATTTAATATCCTGATCTGGAGGGAGGTGTAGCAAAAAATTTTTTATTTCTTCTTGTAAAAGTGCGGCTGTAAACAGAAATAAGAAGGAAAATATATAAATAAAAGTATAGATAAATTGCAATCTATATTATTTACCTCGAAGCAAGCGGAGTATTGAAGAAACCGCGAGAGATACTACGCTTCAGAAGTGATTCTGTGGATGGTGTATGCTTTAACTCTTCTGTTTTTGGAGTGCAAATATCGTTCGAATTTGTACGATTCACGTAAGTTGCCCAATAATCTGATGAAATTTGAAGTAAACCTTCTACTATCTAGAACATAAAGTACATTGTACTATCGTATTTCTCATATCAGATATAATAGCAAATTATTAGAAGTTTTTTCTTACCGCAACTTGATGCTTAGTTTCATTCAACATAGTAAGAGATGGTTCCTGAGAACTATAACCGACTAAAGTTGGTCCAAAAACCTTGGCAAGATTACTGATGGGCATTTTACATTCAGCGCTACTTGATACTCTCTGTAAATGTAACATCAAAAAGGCCAAAGTATCTCGATTCGGTTGTGGCAATTCTGATATCGCTTGATAAAGAGCGGCGTCAGCATCCTGTTTGTCCGTCAATTGTGTTGCACGTATGAAATCTCCCAACAGACCGACAGTGATTAACGGTTCACGTAATGTTCTAAAATATAAATTCAAATTTAAATTGAATCTATTATGTATAAGAAATAAAAAACCATAGGATTCAATTAATTAATAGAAGATCGAGAATATAATTATCGCAGACGACCTGTCGTAATCGTGATTAAGGAGATTAAGGAGATTGAGAATATTTTTGTCACAGATATTTAACAAAGAATTCTGAATTCGAGTCGATTCCGTTAATTTTCTCGTTTCCTGCACTTGCATATTTTAATATACATTTATTATATTCATGTAATATTAACATTAATATTATTATATAATATACACTTCAAACGACATACCTGAGAAAATCTTTCAAAGTAGAACAGATAGTCGCAATATCGACGCCTGAAAGATTTGGGGCACCTTTGCCTTTCAAGAATTTTTCTTTGAGATTTTTGGCGTCTGCAGCTGCTCCGTTCACTCTATATAATCCTTGCTCATTCATTCCGCGTAATTCAACTTCGTTAATGCAGTGAACTACTATGGAAGGTACCATAGGTGGTATCATAGGTGTGTAATCAGCTATCGTACCCTGTATATGAAAATGGCATTTGATGAAGATATAATATACATGCTTTGTCAATGTGGAAATTATAATACTTACAGGTATACCACGTAAAGTAGGTGTATTTCCTGTTGGGATACATGGCAATGGTACCAAATCTTTACATTCAGTATGAGCTGTAGCTCTACAATCTCTGCACTTTTGCGCGACCTTTCCAAATCGGATTCTATAAATAAATTAAAAGATATTCAAATTGTTTTTTGTAATTATGATTATCTTATTAAATTAAATGTAAATAATGTACGAGCTCTTTGCTATGCTTACATAGTAACTGAATAAATTTACCTTTTGTTGCAAGCTATGCATATTTCTGCCCTAATAACAGTTTTAGCTGCAAAACTGTGACCCCTAGACTCTTTTGTATTCATGGTATAACCACCGATGTTTGGACTTGGTTTGAAAACATCCTCTGATTCGGGAGTTGATGAAAGAATGTCAGCTTTTGGTGCTGATGGCTAAAAATAAAATAATTTTTTTCTTCTTAATTATACTTATCATGTATTTAATTTGTAGAAGAAATTAAATTGTCATATTAAATATATGTACCGCGATGTCGATTGGTACTTCATTTGTATCTATGTGCGACAATTTTGATTTGTGTTCTGTACTGCTCTTGCGTCGTTTGCGAGAATTATGCAGAGGAATTTGAGGATCTGCATTTTCATCACCAGGTATAGCTTCGATTGTAGATGATGCATGGATTGCACCATCCTTCGGCATAACTACAGTAGTAGTTGCTACTATTCTATCAGAAGAGTTTAATTCTGTAGTTTTATGTGTGCTACGGCGATGTTTCTTCGCATATTCAGTACTAGGACGATGCTCTTTCCATTCTCGTCTTTTTTGACTTTCCAAGATAGCGCTGACCTCTAAATCATCTTCTGATTTCGACAGACAATTGAGATCACTCAGTAATGAGCCAGTAGAATTTAATTCTGCTATTGTGTTAAGTCTAAAATATAAACATAACAGCATATCATATAATTTAATATAATTATTATTTTTTGCTTATCAAGAGTCACTTTATATATTTACTTGTCAAAAGGAATGTCATGAATATGAACGCTACTTTGACGATTCAAAGAAGTATTATTAAGAAATTGCAATTTCTCTCTAGTTTCATCATTCAGAGTTCTCCCTCCATCATTGAACAAGAAATCTCTAACTGTGGCAATTTGTTTCTCCTGTAAAAAGTAAAAATAAGCATTTCAAAATAAAAATTTTTCATAAACGAAGAAAATATTAGTTACCAATGAATCTCTCTGCTCTTCGATAGTACGACGCTTGCGCTTCTCTTCTTCCAAGTTTCTTCTCGCATGGCGTAGTTTCCTATCAAGCCCTGCAATCTCATTATGAGCCTTGTCTAAAGCTGAGTGAAGTCGTTGACATTCCTGCACGGATGCCTGCCATTTCTGTCTCATCTCCTCTTGATTTAATGCAAATTGCAAGAATTCTGTACAGAGATATTGAACAAATTCATATTGATAATTTTAATTCTACTACGATAAATAGGAGTAAAACTTGAGAAAATGAACAACAATATCATTCATGCATCATCATCAATTGTACGAACCTTTTTCGCAGGATCCATTGATCAGGACATTCGTACATCTTACCATCTCGTCGTAAGTGGCTAAAAGCGACAACGACGTCATTTTTGCGTTTATTTTATCGTTTCTTTCACAAACTTCTATTCTGCTGACATATCATTGGCGTATAACATTTAAAAGTTCACTCGTTGTGACCAAAAATAACACGCGGCACCGTGACAACGAAATAATAAATCTGTACGTTCAAACGTACGCGTCAAAGTTTGAAATCTTTGAAAGCCGCTTCTTTTCCGCGACCGTTAAGAATCGATAGAACCGCCTTCAATGGAGAAAGTGTGAACTACAGCCAACCAATAATCGTAAGGTCGATATATTTTAGTATCGGTCCACAATAGGTGATTTAAGTTTTAAGAAGTAAGAAATTGACCAATTATAATCGAATATGAAAAGAATAATCGACTATGATTGGTCAATTTCTTACGGCTTAAAGATTAAATACTTATTGTGGACCGACACTAAGCGGTCTACAATGAGATTTTAAGACGTAAGAAATTGGCCAACCACAATCAATTATTCTTCTATAAATCGATTATGAATGGCCAATTTCTTAAGTCTTAAGTCTTAAAATCTCATTGTAGACATTGCTTTAGAATGAGGCCCAATCGGACATTGTCGATTGGTTGATTAAATAATAGATCTTTTGATAGGTTGCTCACTAGAAAATTCCTAGGTATCGGCCGATGTAAGTAGTATGTTTGATTGAAAATGTGCGCATGTAAAATGCTGCCGTAAAATGCTATTTTATGGCGTGGAAATCGAGCAGAAAAGAACGCACGGACCAATCAATGAAAGAAACAAAAGAAAAGATCCTGTTTTTGAGCATAAAAAATATACATATATACTTTACGGCATATATTATAGGATTTTCATAGTATGTTTTAAAAATAGAGCCCTTGTCATTTTTTCGTTCTTGTGGTTGGTTCGCATGTTCTATTTTGCTATAAATTTGAATATTATTCAATTATGGAAATGTCCTGTTCGATCACGGTTTGCAATTGGACAGTTTACAATTGCAGTATGCACGCGCGCACGCACACTCCCAATAAATACGAAATATTACTCTACATTACTGTATGTGTATAATATTACACACACACACACACACACACACACACACACACACACACACACACACACACACACACACACACGACGACG